AAAACACACAAAAACACCCCCAAGGAAAACAAAAAAAACCAAAAAAACCTCAAAAATACAAAATAATACCACAAAAAACCCAAAAGAAACCCAAAAAAACCCCTCAAAACCCCCCAAAATAAACCTAAAAAAACCCTAAAAAAAACCTAAAAAAACCACAAAAAAACCCACAAAAACACCCCCAAAGAAAACAAAGAAAAACCTAAAACCCTCAAAAATACAAAATAATATCACAAAAAACCCAAAAGAAACCCCAAAAAAACCCCAAAACCCCAAAAGTCTCCCCAAAAAAAACCCCAAAATTCCCAAAACCCCCCAAAATCCCTCCCAAAAACCCCCAAAATTCGCTTTTAGTGGATTCCGCTGGCTCTGCTTTGAGGTCCCAGTGGTGTAACCGGGATACCCCTAAAAAAAAACCCCAAAATCCCCAAAATCTCCCCAAAAACCCCCAAAATTCGCTTTTAGTGGATTCCTCTGGCTCTGCTTTGGGCTCCCAGTGATGTAACCGGGATACCCCTAAAAAAAAAACCCAAAAATCCCCAAAATCTCCCCAAAAACCCCCAAAATTCGCTTTTAGTGGATTCCTCTGGCTTTGCTTTCGAGTGCCAGCAGTGAAACCCCTAAAAAAAAACCCCAAAAGCCCCAAAATCCCCCCCAAAAAAACCCAAAAACCTCCCCAAAAAACCCCAAAACTCGCTTTTAGTGGATTCCTCTGGCTCTGCTTTGGGGTCCCAGTGATGTAACCTGAACACCCCTAAAAAAAACCCCCCAAAAGCCCCAAAATCCCCCCAAAAAACCCCAAAAACCTCCCCAAAAAACCCAAAACTCGCTTTTAGTGGATTCCTCTGGCTCTGCTTTGGGGTCCCAGTGATGTAACCTGAATACCCCTAAAAAAAAAAAACCCAAAACCCAAAAATCTCCCCCAAAAATCCCAAAAACCTCCCCAAAAAACCCCAAAACTCGCTTTTAGTGGATTCCGCTGGCTCTGCTTTGGGCTCCCAGTGATGTAACCTGAACACCCCTAAAAAAAAACCCCCAAAGCCCCAAAATCCCCCCAAAAAACCCAAAAGCCTCCCCAAAAAAACCCCAAAACTCGCTTTTAGTGGATTCCGCTGGCTCTGCTTTGGGGTCCCAGTGATGTAACCTGAATACCCCTAAAAAAAAAAAACCCAAAAGCCCCAAAATCCCCCCCAAAAAACCCCAAAAACCTCCCCAAAAAACCCCAAAACTCGCTTTTAGTGGATTCCTCTGGCTCTGCTTTGGGCTCCCAGTGATGTAACCTGAACACCCCTAAAAAAAAAACCCCAAAACCCCCAAAATCCCCCCAAAAATCCCCAAAGCCGCGGTTTAGGCTGGCAGGAAGGGAGGGAAGCGCTCCAGGAGGGTGGGAGGACACAGGCGCAGGTAGAGGAGCTGGAATTGTTCCCATAAAAAGCCAAATAAAAGGGGGAGTTTCTTTCTTTGGGACGGGCTCAGAACATTTTTCTCCCCCCTCTCTCCGAATTAAAACTCTTGGAGGATGGGGGGAAAAGATCGGCCAAGAGCGGGATTTACTTGGGGGAGGTTTAAATTGAATTAAACCCGAGTTTTTTCCTCCTTTTCCAGCCCGGAATCCCAATCCCTGCTCGGAGGAAAATCCCTCCACCCATCCCATCCAGGTAAGCTCCTCTCGGGAATTTTGAAATCGGGGAATTTTTGAAATCGGGGAAATTTTAAAATCGAGGAATTTTGAAATCGAGGAATTTTAAATCGGGGAAATTTTAAAATCGGGGAATTTTTTAAATCGGGGAATTTTAAATCGGGAAATTTTTAAATCGGGGAATTTTAAATCGGGAATTTTAAATCGGGAATTTTTAAATCGGGAATTTTAAATCGGGAATTTTAAATCGGGAATTTTAAATCGGAATTTCGAAATCGGGAATTTTTAAATCGGGAATTTTGAAATCGGGAATTTTGAAATAGAGAATTTTGAAATCGGGAATTTGGAAATCGGGAATTTTGAATTTAGGATTTTGAAATCGGCAAAACAAAAACGGGGACCCCCCTGCCCTCCTCACCCTCCTCCTTCCCTGGGGGGGAAAAAAAGCCCCAAATTCCCTTTTTTGGGCCACCCCTAGG